CACACACTCCATCTTTCTGTGACTTCCATTGCCTGGCTGCTTGCATTCTAGATAACAAACCAGATCAGGATTGGTTGGCATGGGTTAGCACACTTTGCTCATGGCCTAATAAATACGCCATCAATTGTAAGGTGTATCTATAGCCACATGTTTCTTTTAAGTTTTGGATAGAGGACACTTAAAAGTTTTTTGGTGTCTGTGTTCCATTGGGAAGATTTTCCTCCATTCAAGAAGCAAGGAGGGTCAATTATACCACAACATGAAGTGAGGAAGGGAAATCCTTTCTTTGACAGTTGTTCCGGTAACAAGTGTCTCCACTGCAAGATTTCTCCTCTGTACCTCACTCAGTGATAGCTCAAAATTCTAGATTTTCTCTAAGTTTCAGTCCTGAAGACCGTGGTCTCCAGGACATATAAAGAGGCTTACCGACAGAAATAAGTACATAACAGAGGTTCTGACTCTTTCCTACTCAATGAAAATCTCAAAAAATAAATGCAGCCTTGGATAGGCTATAAATGTAAATACAATATAAACATTTCATTTAGTAGTTTGCTTGATATTTGATATGTCTGGTTGACTTCCAGGTATGACTTTGTGGAGGTGGAAGAGTCTTCGGAAACAAGCTCCATTATACGAGGCCGGTGGTGTGGACATAAAGAAGTTCCCCCAAGACTGACATCTAAAAAGTATCAGATAAAGATCACATTTAAATCGGATGACCATTTTGTGGCTAAGCCTGGCTTCAAAGTCTGCTATTCGCTTGTGGTAAGTTACTGTTTTCACTTCTCAGGTAACAGAAACTTTGGAGAATGATTTTAATTGGCTAACCTAAAGTAGATTGACATGCTTTGTAACACATTATTGATATTAATAAGCACTGAAAGAAGTCCAACTACCATGATTAGATGATTTAAAAATAATTTTTCTTTTTATAAATCCAAACTGAATTTCTGTGCCGACATAGAACACAGCGCTGTTTCCAGGCACTTCTGGTGACACGCTGCTTCAAGTGCGCCCAGCAGTGGCACTGCACTTCTTTTAATCTCTGGTGCCAACAGTGGATGAGTGTACGGGGGGAGTGATTAAGAGCTGATTACCGATGTATGTTACCATGGTATGTTCTGCTGTAGGCAATCTATAGGAGTGACAATGCTGATTTCAATGGCATAGTCTCAGTGTTGTCACCCTATCAAAGGAAGTGAGTGGACAGCTGGGTTTCTGGTATTTTTCTGTAGAAATAGCAATCCTGCATGCTCTATGACCTATGGATGTTTTATTTATTTCCATAGATATACTTTAATAGATTGGAAATGCAAGCTCTCGTAACATGTTACGGTTGTAGGTTTAACTCAACATGAAAAAAGACAAAATGTGGTTAAAGAAAAAGAACAGTGGTTTTGTACATTTACTTTTTATTATGGTGAGGATTCAAAATAAACAAAAAATCTTTTGTTTCCAAATAAATATTACCTGTTGCAGATTACTATTATGCAGTCTTTAATGCAGCCAGGAGAAGGAGCTCTAGTCTCCTTTTTCACATATTCAGCTATTTTAGCTGTGCTGAAAGAATCCACTTGTGTCCAGAACTCAGACGGTAATAATGAAAGATCATTTTGCTTTGTAAATAAGTTGAAGCTTTGCCCACCTCGGTCTTCAAATCCCGTGCCAGCACAAATCCTGTTTTTTTTTATTTTTCCTGCACATGATTGGGCATTCCTAACGAGCTGAGCTTTATTGAACTCAGTGAATATTCACTTTACAAAGCCTATGTAAACTTTTAAGGGTGCAAATGTACTTTGCTTAATAGGATACAGTCAACAGTTCTGAATCTTGCATTACAACTCCAACCTCTAGTTTTGTGATGTTTATTTCTCCATCAGCATCAGAACCCGAAGATTATTCAAATGATGGCCTCTTCTGCAGAAAGCTGCATACATGAGCTTTTTTTGGCAATCATGAAGTTATGTAGATTTCTTCTTTGGCTCAACATCTGTACTGTCTGTAGAAAAAGTGTAAAACCCTCAGACACTTCTACACTTTATCGTTCACATGGTTCTAATTCCAGGTTTACAGCAATTGTACCAAGAAAATAAATTTGTTCTGCATTGTTAAACATTATTAGTCTATAGAATGCTGAAAATGCTTTGCATGGCTTCACTCTCTGTGTTAAAATAAGGAATAAACTCCTTACTTTTGGATTTGTGGAAGTAAGACTGCAGATACCTTTTCCTTAAAGGTACTGTGCTTCTGCAGAGATTCAAATGTAGGGGCTGATGTGCTAAAGAAGTAGGAAATGTTCAGTTATCAAAGTGAATGCTCACTTATAGTAAATATTTCAATAAATTGAAGTTACATTTACATTTTAGGGTATAGGGGTTACGGCTTGGGTGAAATGTCAAATTTAAGGTTTATGTTAAGGAACAGGGTGAGGTTTTGGTGCTGGGTTCAGATTAGGGTTTCAGATTAAAGATTAGGTCTAGCTTTAAAATTAAGTGTTGGATGAAATTAAAGTGCACATTCATGCACCAGTGGCCCAAATGTTCCCCCTTACCCTTTTCAGCACCACTCTTTGCCATCTATCCTATCTGATAATCACTGGTTTCTACTAATGCAGCCTATATTGGGCACCACTTATCTGTTCTTGGTAGGGATGCACCGATACCGATACTAGTATCAGTATTGGTGCCGATACCAAGTATTTGGGTGAGCTCCCGATACTTATTCTGATACCGGAACTTCCAGTATTAGGAAGCCTGGCGGCGAGTCATTACACGCCGCCCGGCTTCCTTATTGGCCAAAAAGCCGGCTCCATGCTTTCTCATTAACTGGGTGCATGGAGACTGCTTCCCGGCTAACCTGGAAGCTGGGTGGCGAGTCATTACATGCTGTCCGGCTTCCCTAATGGGACTTCTGGTATCGGTATTCGGTATCGGCAAATATAGCGGTACTCGATATAAAAAATATGTGTACCGCAAAACCGGTATCGGTGCATCCCTAGTTCTTGGAGACATTAAACTGCAATTCTGAACACACATGGCTTTTTACCATCAGCATTCACATTTTGTTAAAGACGTGTATTGAAACCAATGACAAAAAGCCTTGTATGCAAAGTGTGCCAGCGCTCCCTAGAATGAGAAGAACCAGGCACAGCATGGACTACAGCATCAGCTTGTGGCTCCAGAAACCATTAAATGTATGATGACAATGCATGCATAGGCCCATAAAAGTGCCCAGTTCCTAATCAATATTTATGATTATTTTACCACTTTTTTTAGTGTGTTCCTCTTTATTAAAGCCAGTATTTGCCAAGTAACTCTGGTACATTTTTATAGACTATGCAGCCAAACATTTGTGGACATCTGGTCATCACACCTACATGAGCCATGTACATTTCTGATCGTTTAGCCACACTGCCTTTTTTTAAATGTTGGGGCACGCTATACTGCTGGCTAGCAGTAAATAAATGTAAAAAACAACAAGCATTTAGTACAACTTTATTGGAGCTGGCTTTGTGCACAGGGGCACAATCATACTGGAATAGAAAAGGGCATCCTTCAAACTGTGGTCATAAAGTTGGAAGTGCACAATTGTCTAAAAGGCCTTTGCTTTCTGTAGCATTAACAGTTCCCTTCACTGGAAACACCTTAACTCAATAATTTGGAGGGGTTTCCACATACTTTTGGCCATATAATAGGTGTTGTGGTCAGGTATCAACACATTTTGTGGCCATATAGTGTTTTTGCCCATTTATTCCCTTTTACCCTCTAATGTTGTATAATTTTTTTCCTTAGATCTGTATTATGTGTAATGTATTACTTGCTTACATTTCAAATTGTCATAGGAAATGTATTTTACTGAGCAATAGTACCCCCTGGGCCTGTCAGAAGCAGTCCCTGGGGTACACATATAATTGGTTTAGAACCCTACGGCTATTTCATTAGAACGAGAACCCATATTGTTTACCTGGAGCTCTCTGTGAAAGTATGATAACACAAAACAAAGATAAAATACAGTAACAAATGATAAAAAGGGTTTATTATTCACATGAATCGTTCTGGTTGGAAACTGTTACAAAACACAAGTCGCCTTTATATCAATGAGAGTTTAGTGTTAAGGGTTTGAAATTGTCATACTAGATTGCTCCATTTTCTGCTGTCGATTTTCTGATTCAGTTATTTATTGGTAAATTAGCTTTTGAAAGGCATACAAGTATGAAGTATTTTCTCAGACTCAATTAGGTTGTGTGGATTTGCAGATCTGGCCGTCATCTCAATTTATCAATCATCTTGATATGAGAGGCTGGTTACAATCGTATTTATATAGTGCCTTATACTTCACAGTATAATGAAAAAATAAGCAGTGTGTTGAATGTCATTGTAGAGAAACATTCTCTGATTCAGTTGGGTGTATAATGCCTTTATATCATGCATGGAATTTCTGTTAGCAATAAACCTTAATAAATAAACCTTATTTACAACAACAAATAAACCGCTACTGGTTTGGCCGGACTGGCATTTTCCGAAATAAATGTTGTGTATGAGGGTACTTGTGGGGTGAAAGGTGATCCAAAACTCTGTGTTGATAAAATGGTGCAAATCAGAAGTAACAGTACTTAAAAATTAATCTGTACAACAGTATGAAATAGAAATGGTGATGTGAAAAATGTAGTAAGCCATAGAAACAGTTTGATTTTTATTTTGCTGTGGTTAAATTAGTTATAAAGTGAGTACTCGGTGCTATAATTTAATGCACTTTGATTATTATACGCCCCGCAATTCCATGCTGAATAAGCCTGTACATCTTTGCTGAACCTTGATTACATACATAAATGTGGATCATTAGGAATTTATATGCCAGGGCTGCCATTTCATTTTAGCATTGCCTGATGCCAGGTTCTCGCGGTTTTCAACACCAGGAATCCAACAATGTAGTTTTTGGCAGAGGGCTGAATGCAATGCAACAGAGAAAAGTTTCCTGAACTCCTAAAAAACATAACCTCCCCAACAATAATTAACAACTTCCTCTGCACACCCACATTGACTTGCACTGGAAGCATCTTCTCCGAAAGCACACCGTGCTGCTGAAAAACAGAATATATTATTCGTAAGACCCTAAAGGTCTATAGACGATCAAGATATCAGGAAGCTTGTTTCACACAACTCATCAGAGCTGTGACATTTGCTACTTCTGTTTCTTCAATACTGCTTTTTTTACTTTGAATTTAGGGTGAACTTTTTGTTTACCAAGAACTTACAAATCCCTGGCAATGTCTCCGGTTTATACCATTGTGGGTGTTCTAGCAAAAAAGTTTTCTCCGGTGCTAACGGCCAGCGGCTATCTCTATCTTCAATTAGACTGGGCCCAGGGGTGCTGCTCCTTTTTAGATCGGAAAGCACTCACCCACACATGCAATATATATTATCGTATTCACTCATTTTGAGCTTGCTCACACAGGGCTTGGCGAACAAATTGCCTGGTAGCTAAGTGGCGTAAAAAATTTCACATCCAAATCTGAAACCTTCGTATCTACAGCTGATGTTGGCGTCTGCTAACTCCAACTGAGCAGTGTGATAACTGAATTAGTTACCAATCATCATCTATCCCTATATCAATCGATGAGTGTTTAACATTGCTACACTTGTGAGTAGGCTATTGTTTTTTTGCTATTCATAAATATTAACCAGTACTGCACAGGGTGGGCACAAAAGATTGTGTTTGATTTGCACCATTGTGGGCAATTCTTCCTTGCTGTTCTTCAATTGGAG